ACACCCATGTTGGACAAAGAAGAGTATATTATTTGAGTTGCCATATTGGTCAAAACTAAAATTACGGCATAATCTTGACGTAATGCATATTGAGAAGAATATATGTGACAGTGTAATGGGAACTATAATAGACATTGATGGTAAAACAAAGGATACTGAAAAAGCTCGTTTGGATTTGGAGGATATGGGTATAAGGAGGGAGTTACACTTACAATTTTTGAAAGGTACCAAAACAAATAAAGAAGGCAAATTGAAGTGTGTAAAGTCGCGTGCACTTTATACTCTATCCCAAAAGGAAAGAAAAGGCTTTTGGGAATTCTTAAAAGCGGTGAAGTTTCCTGATGGATATGCTGCAAATATATCTAGATGTGTGAATATCAAGGATGGTAAGATAATCGGGTTAAAAAGTCATGATTGTAATGTTCTATTACAACGATTGCTTCTAGTAGGACTACGTGGTTACTTGCATAAGGATGTTCTGGATGCTATTACTGAGTTGGCAAGCTTTTTCAGACAATTGTGTTCCCGGAAACTAAATGTTAATGTCCTTGACAATTTGGAGAAGAGGATTCCTTTGATATTATGCAAGTTAGAAATGATATTTCCACCTGCATTTTTTGATGTTATGGTCCACTTAGCAATTCATTTGGCACAAGAAGCAAAAATTGGAGGACCGGTTCAATATAGATGGATGTATCCTATCGAAAGGTAATTCAATATTTTATTTATTATTTGTCGAACTTCGTTAAAGTTAACTTGGTGTCTTTAGTATTTTAATTTATGTGTTTCATTTATATATTTTTAACAGGTATCTTAGTACTCTTAAGGGGATGGTTCGAAATAGAGCTCGTCCTGAAGGCTCAATCGCAGAGGCCTATGTTGTAAAAGAGTGCTTAAGTTTTTGCTCATTATATCTTCATGGAATTGAGACAAAATATAATAGAGAGGAAAGAAATTATGATGGTGAGGAAAATCAAAATGCAACTATCTCTGTTTTTCGAAGTAAAATTCGAACCTTCGGAGAAACAAATTTTGTACAATGCCCACTGAACAATATAATGTTTTCTATTGGTTTGTCCTAAATAACTGTGCGGAGATTGATTTATATATAAGGTAATTAGATATTGTTTTATAGCATTATAATAAAATATACATGTGTTGATTGTGTTATTGTTTACTTTTTTTCTTTCTCAGGTAGCACGAAGAAAAACTTAAACAAGAAAATCCTATTGGGTGGGAGATTACATAAAAAAGAATTCGCTTCATGTTTTGAGAATCGAGTAAGAACTCAAATTCATATTTCAATTATGGCAATTAATCTGTAGTTCTTTAATTTAATACATGTTATCTTGTATATATTTGATAAATTAGATTAAAAAGCTTTGGAGTACAAAATCCCCAGAAGCTACGGATGAACTTCTTGCACTTGCATCAGGCCCTGACCATCATATTAGTAAATGTAGTGGGTGCATAGTAGAAAGAGTTAAGTATCTAACTAGTCTAAGAGAATCTAGACGAGTAACTCGAAATAGTGAAGTGTGTACAGATGTAGTTCACAAAGGTAAAATGATTAAGTTTTATGGAGTTTTAGAGGATGTGATTGAGTTGAGTTATGCTTATGATTACCGAATTGTATTATTTAGTTGTAAATGGTTCGATTTGGATCGACATAAAGTAGTAAAGATAGATGGTGACATTGTGAGTATAAATGTGGGCAAGTGTTGGTACGAAAATGAACCTTGTATTTTAGCAAATTAAATAACTCAAGTTTTCTACATTAGTGATACAAAATTAGGTGGAAATTGGAGAGTAGTTCAACATGTACAACACCGACATCTTTTTGACCCAACTATCATTAATTCTACTAATGGGAATTAACCTGATGCAAATGATGCATATCAACAAGAATGTTGTTCTTATATTGAAGTTGAAGATAGTGCTATAGAGATTAGATCGGTAGTACGTAGTGGTGAAGCTCCGGTAGAGATTGTTAATCCATGTGTGCACAATAATAAAAATGATGAAGAAGAAGATGGGAAGACGAAGATGACACCTTATTCGAATATTGGACCAGTGATGATGAAGCCGCATCTCATGTCGATATAGATAGTGACATGGAATAGTGAATGGTTGCAGGTATAAATAGTTTAATTTTCTTTTCCTTTAATATTTTTTACATTAATTGTATTATGATTTATTTTTTGTTATATTCTTTACAACCTGAATTTATTGGAAATACTTTTAGAACTACATAATCTGATCAAGGAAATGTGAGAGTGGATGTAATTGTCTACCATTTGATTGGATGATGCCTGGCTTTTGTTCTTCTTAATTGGTATAAATATTTTTGACGTTATATTCTTTTATTGAGATTGTGTTGTATGTGCATTTATACTATATATTTTACATATAGCTAAAACATATTATTTCACACTTGTTTGTCCATTTAGATATTTTCAGGTATTTACTTGCATGTGCGTTTAATTTTTGTCTTCATTCACCTCGAGCATGTAAAATTCCATGTGAGCTGCATGGAAAAGCAGCTCAAGATAGCGTATACGAAAATTTTGTTGTAGTCATTCACATATAATTTGAAGGTTCAAATTTTTCGTGTTTTGAAAAATATATTAGTTGTATCATGCTCAATTATTTATATATTTAACTATGTATAATCTTTTGATAGTTTGTTGCTTGAAATTTGCACAGATGATGTCCTGGTAATTTTGTGCACAAAATCACGAGGAGTTTATGCTTCGTAGATCAATTACTCCACAGGTACCCATTGTTGTTGTATCTTTTTTATTTATTTATTAATTTTCAATTTGTCTCGTTAAATAATTAGTTATTTTCAACTATTAGTTAACTTTCTATAGTTTAATATGTTAGAACTTTATCAGTGTTTTATATACTTTAATTTGAAAATAGGAGTAAAGTGGAGAATAACATAGGTATAAGTGTTGTTAGCTATCAAGGGAAAATATACAAGTGAACATTTTTTGATGATTATTGGGTGTAAAATGTTACCATGCATAATATTAAATGTTCCACTGTGTTTCAAGTTTTGTTGTGCGATTTTTGAACATGAGACATTGAAATCACTAAACTATACTTCCCATTTGCTGATAGTAATGGTTTTAGCTTTATTTTCTCTTTGACAATTGATGAGAAAAATTATGTGATTCTTCATTTGGTTATTGAGAAATAATTATGTGGTTATTAACATAATTCATTTTTTTTAACAGTACGTACCTAGTGTTGGGACAATTTACTTGGGATCATGGTTGACGAAAGATCAAATGTAAGTACTATAAAATATGTGTGCCAATAGACAGTAGTTGATACAAGAGTAAATACTTATGTCGATAACTTGGTTTTATTTTTCAATATCCGTAGGCACAAATTTGAGTCTACAATTTGATGCAAGTTTTGTTTTGTTATGTCCAATTTTTAATTATTTTTTACTTTTCTAGCAACATTGTTTTTCGAGTTATTTTCTTTTCATTCTTTGGAATTATTATGACCGAGACTTTTGAGCTGATTCATTTGGTAGTATTGTAGCTATTTTATTTCTAATCAACTGATATTCGGGAAGTTGCATTATATTATTCATTTTTTCTTATCTTCTTTTACAACTATAAATATGTTTGCTAATGAGAAAAACTGGTATTATTTGCAGGAGAATTTTTATCTTCAATTTTTCAGAACAACAAGGGCTAAAAAGTGGGACCTTTGCAAGAACTTCAGTACTTTCGATCTTTGATGATAGTAAATATCCAAAAATTTCATATTATATTGTAATAAAACGTAATAATGTAGTATTAATTTTTTTAGTAGACGAATATTGGATACCGATTATAACAGCTTAGTGACATTAATTCAAATTTTTGAATGTTGATTTGATTGATTGATAGTGTTTAAATCTGCAGAGTTCTATTTAATTTGAATAACTTATGGGTTCTATCGTATATATATTTAATTTAAATAAATAATTATGTATTAATATATGTAAATGAGTAACCGATTTTATAATATATTTTCATCCACATTCGGTCACTAATATATACACACTAGCAACTAAACTTAAAACTTTTTACAATCGTCACTCGGTCGCTAATATACACTCATTAACAACCAATTGTAATTATTTTTGCAACCATTATTTAGTTTCTAATGTAAACACAATAACAACCAATTATTTACTTGTTATAAGAATATTTTTAGCAGTGAGGTTTTTTGTCGCAAAATGGTCTCTGAAATATTTGAAGTGCAACACCAATTGCAACCACACAAAAACTATTACAACCAACTAATTGGTTGTTAACTGATTATCATTTACCTACCAAAACGATATGGTCATTGTATATGTAGTTATAACAACCAACTACTAGGTTGTTAAATGAATATAGTTCACCGACCAAAACGATATGGTCACTATATATGTAGTTATAGCGACCCTACTAATCTTTTTGTGACAATAAAATTTTACATTAACGACCCAAACAAATGTCACTAATAATTATATTTTTAATCACCATTAATTACGGGTTGCTAAATACACGCCCTTAGTGTCCACTTCAATATCTCGTCGCTGATACTTTCAGTGACAACACTGTTGTGACCAAATCTGACCAAATTCAATTTGGTCACTGTAACTTGTAATGACCATTTTCTAACTTTTAGCGTCCACAATCACCGGTCACTAAACCTATTTTTTCTTGTAGTGTATGTATGCCGATGTCACAACACCGTTGACTAATGAGACGCAGTACACATACACTAAGTGCTAGTCTCGAATGGGAAAGTCCGATATCCTCATTAGTGGCGTAACCTGTTGACTAGGAACAATGTTTAACAGCTACTATACTTAAATAAATAATCTCACGATTCTAGTAGATCTATTTACAGTAATTATGTAACTTCAAGGACTACATCTATGCTTATGCAAGGGAAAAAGATATAGAATGCCAAAGGGGGTTTTTATCATTAAAACGAAATAGATTATTTACGAGTAGTGTGAGAAAACTCAACAATTAGTTGGCTTTTCGGTCACCTACTCTAACAGTTGTACCTAAAATAGAATAAACCACTTATTAAGCACCATTAATTTCATAAAAGTATACAAAAATCCTCATAAAAAAAGTATATATTGGGTGTAAAATACACACTCAACACACCCCAAACTTGAACTTTTGCTTCTCCTCGAGCAAAAACTAGCAACTTTCAAAGCAACACTTTCAACAAATGCCCCTCATCACATAGATTAATGGTCGATCTTCACGTTTTCATAACTTGCAATGATCATGACAATTCTGAAAAATTTGCAAGCTCGCAATTCAAATATACTTATTCACTTACCATTGCTAAGAACCACAACCCGTGTTATCGCTTCAAGTATCCCATATTTGTAAATTAAAAATGGAAAAAATTTATACTTACATAATCATATTGAAATAATTGAGCAATTGGGATCATTGAGACTTTTTGGCTTTCAAATGTTGGGCTTTTGGGTAAGAGTGGCTACTCTTCTCCTTTCATCTCACAATTAGTCACTAAGAGTTGCAGTTGACGAAATTTTTAACTCTCGTTCTTGACTAGAGGTGTTTTTTCTAAGATTTAGCTTTTGGACTTATTTCTTCACCTCAAAGGACTTATTTCTTAACTCGATTTGTTTAGAGTTCAAAAGTCTCCACTTTTTCTCTTAACATGATGGTTTGAGTTTTTACTTTAAAATCTTTCTCAAGTTCTTTCTTCCCCTTCTATTTTTCTTCTTCTTCGTCTTCTTTTTTTTTTCTTTTTCTTTTACGAAGAAGAAAAATGTAACAATTTTTTTCAACCAAACTCCAAGGGAAAATTTATGATGAAATCATCATCTAATCTACCCACTTTATTTCGGCTAAAAGAAAGAACACCGTTTCTCCAAGGCTCAATCAATGTTCTATTGATAAAAATTTAAAGGTAGGTTTGAAAGGCTCAGACGTTTCAATGATTGCCCAAATCACTTCCCAGATTGCTCAACAATTTTATATTTCACTTTGTAAATTCCTAAGGCAAGTTCTAAAACCGAATAGCATATGATATAGCATAAATTAATTCCACGTTTGAAAACAAAAAACTTTCAATCAAAGCAAGGCATAATTCATGATTCCTAACAATGACTCCTTCCTACGACACTTTGAATCGAAAGCTCACCAAAATTCCGTCACAATCAAGATAAAGCAACCAATTTCATCATTTAACATCAACCATCTTTCATCATCATGATTCATCAAAGCATTAATCTCGATACATATTTTTTTTATCGAAAGCAATAACTAAACTAAAAATAACTAAAATAAAAAAATTCCTAAGGCATGCAAACTAAAAAAATAAAGCACATAAAAACAAGTAATTTTCCACCCCCAAACTTAAAATTTACATTGCCCTCAATGTAATTAGAACAAAGTTCAAGGATAGAATACACCTGATTAGTCGAAAGATCCTTCTCTGGGATGCACTCTTTGATGTTCGTTTGATCCACCTTTAACGTTCGATCCCTTAGTATTTGATTTTCGACCTGAAAATTAAAACAAGATTAAATTATTAGTTGTGCATGCTAAAGTCCTAAGAAAAATAAAAATAAAGAAAAATACAAAATCGATAAATGCGCGGGTTGTCTCTCGAGAAGTGCTAAGTTTCATGTCTTTAGCCAGACTTTGCTTCTTAAAATTGTTATGTCCAATCCAAAGCCTTGTAGATTGCTCATTCATCCATTTGTTTTACTACACCTCTTTCAACCAATGCATGGACAAGGTTGCAATATGCAAGTGTCCATATCCACCTTAGTTGGTACCCTTTTTTGTTAATAAGCAATCTGTACAGTAACAAGGTAGGATGTTCGTCACCCGCTCCCTCAAATCGATATACAAAAATCTCCAGTCTACGTATAACCTCGACCTCAAACACATTAGCCTTCTCATCAACCACTATTGATGCCTTCAAATTCACATATAGATCAACGATAGGGTTTACAACTAGAATATCTTCAATCATTACATCCATCTGCTTCTTCTCTTGTTTTGAGGCATCTTCGGGTTTTAGCTCGATTGCATTCTCAGATTCATCATGCT